CAACATTTTCAAATTTGACCCAGATTGGGAGGAGAACGAGTCCGCGTACAAGAGGTTAAGAGCCGAGATCCTAGGAGAAGGTAGCGACGAGGAAGATGATGACGACGAGGACGAGAGCTCCGACGAAGAAGAGGAGGAACAGAAAGCTATGGAGATCAAAGACCAGTCTAACTCTGACCTGGTGAACCTCCGCAAGACCATCTACCTGACAATCATGAGCAGCATGGATCCCGAAGAATGCGTCCACAAGCTTTTGAAGCTAAGTTTACCCGCCGGACAAGAGTCGGAGCTGCCTTCTATGGTGGTTGAGTGCTGCAGTCAGGAGAAGACTTATTCTAAGTTCTTCGGCTTGATCGGAGAACGGTTCTCGAAAATTAATAGGGTCTGGTGTGATCTTTTTACGCAGAGCTTTGAGAAATACTATGAGACGATTCACCGGTACGAGACCAACCGACTACGAAATATCGCTAGATTTTTCGGCCACCTATTCGGATCGGATGCTATCGGTTGGCACGCGCTATCCGTCATTCACCTCAACGAGGAGGAGACCACCTCCGCCAGCCGAATCTTTATCAAGATTCTATTCCAGGAGATCTCCGAGGAGCTCGGCATGACAAAGCTGCAGGCTCGAATGCGAGACGAGGCGCTACAGGAAAGCTTTGTAGGTCTGTTCCCTCGTGACAACGCTCGGAACGTGCGATTCTCGATCAACTACTTTACTAGCATCGGCATGGGTGCTCTGACGGAGGAGATGAGGGAGTACCTGGCGAATATGCCGAAACCGACCCTTCCGGCACCTCCCGCCGCCGACGACTCAGATTCCGATTCCGTATCCAGCTACTCGTCACATAGCGGGTCCTCTTATTCATCCCGTTCCAGATCCAGGTCTCGTACACCTCGAAGGGCTCTCGATAGGGTCCGCTCGGCATCGCGAACACCACTGCGGCGAGGACGATCGTTGTCATATAGCAGGAGCAGAAGCCCCTCGCGCGCTCGCTCATACTCAGACAGCTTATCGCGAAGTCCGCCCCCGCGAAGAGCTAGCAATCGGTATTCCGCCTCGCCCAGTCCTCCGCGTGGTCGCCGGAACTCCAGCTACTCGCGCTACAGATCAGCGACTCCGCAGCTTGCGCGAGGAGGAGCTACTAGGCTCCGCTCATACAGTCGTGGGCGAGATTCCAGTCGCTCACGTTCGTATACCCCTTCGCGTAGTCGTAGTCCACCGTCTCGGAGAGTAGCGGCCAGATCCTCAGCGAGTCGCAGTCCGCCGCCGCGCGGAGCCCCGGGAACGAGTGGAGATTCATATTCGGTTAGCCCATCCCCCCGCCGGCAGCGCCGTGGCTCGAGCTATTCCCGTTCTCGACCACCGCCCGGGCAGCGGGGCCGTCCTTCGCGAAAGTCTCCTTCCCCTCTACCTGTAAGGCGACGACGGAATACAAGCTCTGTTAGCAGCGCGCCCCGCAAGAGACCTCGGTACGACAGTCGATCACCTAGTCCGGTTGGCGCAAAGAGGAGGCGGTACAGCTCCGGCTCAAGCAGGAGCAGGTCGAGGTCAAGATCGGAGTCGCCGCCGCATGCTAGGAGAAACACAAGGGACGCGGCGTGATAGAGATTAGAGATCTTATCTATCTGGACAAGTAGACGGTGGCAGAGGCTTGCGGGCGCTAATTAGACGTAGGTCTAGGTCAAGGGGATCATATTCTAGATCGAGGAGTTACGAATCTAATGGGAGGCGAAGGGGTTATGGTTCCATGGAGAGCTCTCCCCGAAGGATGAGAAGGCGGTCTTATTGCGGCAGCTCTACTGGCCCAAGCTCATCCCGTGACAGGGGAAAGCGGCGTAGGTCATGTAGCTAGCGGCTCTGTCAGCTTGGCCCCACTACGTCGGTCGGGCTTGGCAGATCTGATCGTAAAGACGAGATATCAGATAATTGTTAATTAGGGCAATCAGGAATCCAAGGATAAGTTAACTAAGTTGTTGCTGCGAAGCATTCTTTCCAAATGGTTTTACAAAACTATCGGCCTTGAAACTTACCGAGGCGTTGCTGGCTCATTTGTCTTGTTTTAGGCCAGTGTATAATATGCCATAGACTGGCGTTAGCAATCGTTAGATAGCACATTACGATTTGGACGGATCTTTACCGAATGCTTTCTTTTGGGCAGTGTCTTCACATGCGTTTTGAAGTTTGTATGTAACCTGCATAACGTGCTCGAGGGTGTCAACGAAACGTAGGACTCGGTCGCTTAGGACCTAACTAGGTAGGTATCCGCCGGATGCGAATACGACGGCTTGGTGCTGCCGCACCTCCTCTTCGCATGCAGAGGGATCCAATTCCTCGACGCAGCGACGCTCCCCGCTGCTGAGCCGTCTGGTGGTCCTATGCCCCATGACGTATATAGGTACTTACATAAATAAACCACTTGACGATTCGCACCCAGTGACTCTCTCCACTCGTCCATACTTGGGTAAGGTCTAGCAATTCAGTTGATTTACTTTTACTCTCGTACACTTATAATACAGGATAACAAGATGAGTTCTAATGCCGCTATTGAACCGTACCAGATCGCCATTCCGGAAGAGGCGATTGAAAAGTTGAAGAAGAGGCTCGAGCTAGCGACTTTCCCTCAGGAGACCAGTTTTTCTAACGATTGGAAATACGGCGTCCCGCTCGACGACATCAAGAGGCTTGTCGGTGCCTGGAGGGAGACTTATGACTGGAGGCGCGCAGAAGCCGAATTAAATGAGAAGCTCCCGCAATTCACAGCAAGAATTGGCGTAGATGGACACGAGGATGATCTAAAGGTCCATTTCGTGCATAAAAAAAGCGATAAGTCGGGCGCAATCCCGTTGTTATTCTGCCACGGATGTGGGTTTACATTGCCCGCACGTGGGTCGTTTGATCGTATCGACTAGCTAACGAAGGAAAAAGGGCCCGGAAGCTTCATCGAAGTCTCTAAGATTCTGCCCCTCCTCACGACTAGCGATGGAGATGACGAGCCGACATTCCACGTCGTAGCTCCCTCGCTCCTGAATTTTGGGTTCTCCCAAGGAACCTCCAAGCCCGGGTTTGGGATTTCGCAGCATGCGGAGGCATATCACAAGCTCATGTTGCAGCTCGGTTATACTAGATACGTCGCTCAGGGAGGCGACTGGGGGTTCATGATCTGCCGAGCTCTAGGAAAGCAATATCCGGCGCACGTCATCGGAACACATCTGAATCTCATACTGACGCGGCCTCCGAGACTTCTATCTTCTCCTCTCCTGTGCCTGCAGCATGCGCTGGGGTGGTATTCCGCGCACGAGAAAGCAGGGTTCGAGCGGACGAAGCAATTCCGCGCCGAGGGCGACGGGTACAGCCGCATCCAGGGGACCAAACCACACACGCCCGGCTTTGCGCTAGCCGACAGCCCGATCGGGCTGCTGGCGTGGATCTACGAAAAGCTTGTAGGATGGTCGGATGCGTACGGATGGACGGATGAAGAGATACTTACTTGGATCAGTATATACGCGTTCAGCGAGGCCGGCGCTGATGCTAGTATGCGATTATACTACGAGACATTGCATAATGAAACTGTCGACTCCATTTTGGGATGGAACGGGAAGGTGCCGTTGGGGCTATCGTTTTTTCCAAAAGAACTGGTCGTGCTGCCTAGCTCGTGGAGTAAGACTCGTGAGTACATATCTTTGACCTCCCCATACCCCTTTTCTGCAATTTCGAGGTTGTTTTTATTTTCAACACCTCTGCCCCCTATAAGAGCGTTAGGAACTGATTTAGGGTGACGATAGTGGGTCCGGTAGTATACGAGAAGCGCCACGATGCAGGAGGTCACTTCGCCGCATTTGAAAGGCCGGAGGATCTAGTTGATGATATCAAGATGTTTGCAAGGAAAGCTAAGCTTGGAAAAAAACTTGATCTCTGAGTTCGAAATTCTGAATGTTTCAAAAGTTCTACTCCGACAGACTATTAAATAAAACAACTTCGTCATGTTTTAAGGTGCTGCGGCTTCTATAGGGAGATTGCGAGAGAATGAAACTTTGCCACTCTCCTCCATTAGTATTCCTACCCGCGTGGCTTCATCCAAGTATGATATAACTAAGGTTTCCGTGGCTATTTGAACATATAGGGGCCAGGAGAAAGGGGCGAAAAAATGGGCTTAGAATGCTTATGTAGTCGTGGGCTTTGCTTAAATGATACTTGAATTGCATAGATGGTAAATAAGGTCTCCCCGAGTGACTATGTTTTGCCGGTCGACTATCGCGAGTTTAATTTCTTCATGTTTCTGACCGGACCCAAGTTACCGGATTGCTGTGACAAGGGCGGAACGGTTATATGGAACGTAAATATATAAGGGCCGGAGGAATAAAAGGGGTAGGTAGTTAACCTTAATACATTCTGACACTACAAGTGATCTAATTACATCGAGGTAGCAAATACAAACCTCAATCTATGTAACAAGGATTAGGAGGCTACACACAGCTCAAGCGAATCCTCCTACCTATTGGATACCTACCTAAGTATCAATGAAATTATCGATGGCAGTATTTTTGAGGTTGCTGTGAGTATACGTGAGGGGGATGGCCCTCCTATTTGAGAAAGTACCAAATTGTATGTTTGGTAATAGGTATAAGTTATGAGACATGTATCTCATCTGGAAATGTTTCTGTTACAACATTAAGGGGATAATTATCTCATCGCCTAATCATCGTTTTTTATAATAGTATGTAGTAGTACTAGTCCTGGCCGCTGGTATCCCTTTAAATACACGAGGTGGATCCCTTGTGGAGAGTATCTTAACCATCGAACAACGCACATAAAACTTTCCTAGGTTAAATTCCGAGCTAACAAGAAATACCCGACGTCTTGCTAGTGTTAAAAGCTATAGGGAAGTAGTGATTAAAGCCTCAGAAAACAAGGTAAAAGTGACAGTACAGCTATGGATAGCACAAGGAGTTATCATCTAACCTATAAAAAATTACTTATTCAACTTCCAAGAAAGAAGTGCCCCCACACCGGATTGAACGATGGACCTCAGCATAGACTCGTAGAGGAAAATTACAAGTGCTGCGCTCTACCACTGAGCTATAAGGGCATAAAATTGAATATAGTTGTGTAGATGAGAGCTGCAGGATTCGAACCTGCGCGGTTTCCCATTGCGGGTCAAATGTTCCATGGAATTCGTGAAGAACGAATGGAAATCCTAAACACAACGCCTTAACCACTCGGCCAAACTCCCATTGGAGAATCCCATACTGCTGTGGATTCAGTTGAATTGGTTGATTCGTATCGTTCTATATGAAGATATTGCCCTCCCCTAATATAAGACCAAAAAGACTAACCATGAGCTATGTATAATCAACTCAATTCCACCTGGTACTTTCTATGACATTAAAAGGAGAAAACCCCCATATTCTCCAAGAAAATCCTCATAATAATCTGACCCACGTCAGCTTAACCCTAGCCCTAAACTAATACAACCCTAACCCTATGTTCTCTGGCCATGATAATTTATTTAGACTGCACTTTCAATGATAAAAGGTTCGATAACGCAATTATAGGTATCTTTCGCGGCCCGACCCCCCCTTAACCACATGATACGGATTTTTTAGACTCCTTGGGTCGAAATTCAGCGTCATTACATCGAAGAAAGTGTTTGTGAGCTCTGTCGTCATCTCCTTGGTGACTCCATAACCTCCATGTACATATATATGCATGATCCACCCCGAGAACGTCGAGAACCCCGTGTCCTGTTTTCTCGATATGCTTTAGGGGCGATTCGGATCCGTATGCCCACTCGTCCACTTGTGTATGTCTCTGACTCTTCTTGCTTATCGCACCTCCGGATCTGTGGAAGAACCAACCAATGCTAGCCTGAATAAGGTTGTCATACTTGCTCACCAACTCCTTGCTCGACTTAGAGAGACGGTACGCGTCGGCCAGGTTTTGGAATGCTTCGTTGAACATAATCTGCTGATTCTATGAGACTGGATGGCAGTTGGGGCCGGCCATCCCGGGCTGGGGGTTCTAGGACATGCGTTGGTGATTCCAGATGTCCAGCTGGCTCTTGAATACCTCCTTGCTGTTCTCTCAGATACTTACCGGCACGTTCCTAATATGTTTTGCCATGGCCATGAGGATCCTTGTCCGCAACCGTCTTGTTGTGTAGAGGCGTAGTTTTTAGCATCAAGTACCCACGATACGCGAGATTCCTGACGGAGTGTCCCTGCTTGCCCTGTCTTGGGGCACATGCAATAAAATTATCAGGCCAGAAAAGACCTACACGGCCTGTCCAATAGTTTTCCTCTTATCGAAGGTTGGTCAAGATCCATCCTCTCTGAAAGAACGGCATCTCAAAAGCGGACCATCGTATTGATGATCGATACGTTGGATCCATTCGTAACGCCGTAGATAAGCTCCATAGCACGAAGAGATTAACCGCTATCCTTGTAGGCCCAGAGTTGGGAATATGTTAGCATCTTAGAAGTGGAAAGTCCTACCACTGCCATCCAGTGTGTCTTACATTTCCCCTTATTGCTTGTAGCAGGAGTAAAAGTAAACACAAACTCGGAAAAGGTGTTTATCTCGTCAGATGCGATAGGCCCATCAAAGGAGCTAACCTTCATTGTAGTGCTGGGCTTAGATGGAGAAAATTCAAGAGCTAAAATATCAGTTGAGAAAAGGAGTCCCACGAGTGGAACGAATGAAGCTATAGGGATCACAGCGGATTATGTTTACGTCAAAGTAAACAGTATGGCTTGGCTGTTGGTTGTTACCTACGGCTTAAATAATGTGAAGCGTACTGTGACGAACCTATACTTAGGCTTAGTAAGTATAGCTTCATAAGAGGGTTAGGGTTAGGGTTAGGGTTAGGGTTAGGGTTAGGGTTAGGGTTAGGGTTAGGGTTAGGGTTAGGGTTAGGGTTAGGGTTAGGGTTAGGGT